AGAACATTCGGATGCACAGCCTACTATCATGTCAACGAGGGAAAGCTTGATGCAAGGGCCAAGAAGGCTATATTCTTGGGGTATGCGGCAGGTGTTAAAGGCTATCGCCTTTGGTGTTTAGAGGATTCTAAGTTCGTAATCAGCAGAGATGTTACCTTTGATGAGAACTCCATGGTAGCTTCGTTGAAAGCTACAATGCCCGATGGTGATGATGTTGAGACTACAATGTCTCAAGTTGTTGACATAGAACCTAGAGATCAATCTAATTCTAGGCATGTTCAAGAGGAGCATCAAACAGATACTCAAGATGAGAGTGATGATGCACTTGAACAAGAGGCGGTTCAGCAAGAGAATGTACAGGCACAGCAACAACAGCAGCTTGCAGATAACTTGGCTTCCTCTAGGCCACGCCGTACCTACAAGCAAGTTCTAAAGTTGGGGTCAGACGAGCCTTTGAGGCACTATGAGCAGACAAATTTGGTTGAGTATGCACTCTCGGTGGAGGATGATGAGCCTACCACTTTCAAGAAAGCTATTTTAAACAACAATAGCGAGAGTTGGTTGGCGGCAATGGAAGAAGAGATGGAATCACTTCACAAGAACCAAACATGGGAGGTTGTCCCATTGCCCATAGGTAAGAAAGCTATTGGTTGCAAGTGGTTGTATAAAAAGAAGGAGGATCCTACCAAGCTCGGTGGTACAAGATTCAAAGCGAGGTTAGTGGCTAAGGGGTTTGCACAAAGAGAGGGAGTTGACTACAATGAGATCTTTTCTCCTGTGGTCAAGCACACTTCCATTCGGGTGCTATTGAGTATTGTTGCTCATCATGATCTTGAGCTGGAACAACTCGATGTCAAAACCGCCTTCTTGCACGGGGACTTGGATGAGGAGATCTATATGCATCAACCTAATGGCTACAAGGTTGAGGATAAGGAACGTCAGGTATGTCGTTTGAGAAAATCACTATATGGATTGAAGCAATCTCCTCGACAGTGGTACAAGCGATTTG